GGGGCTGGGGCCGCGGGGCGGGGTGCGGGGGCTGCGGCCTCCAGCGTCCGGCCCGCCCCGCACGCCCCTCCTCCTCCCCGCGCCCGGAGCCGTGCCCAGGCGGACACCGGGAAGCTGGAAACGCGTTCGTGTTTCTAGCCCTGCCAGGACCACCCCCCCGGCTGTGCGGGGTTCCCTTCAGGTGCACCGTTAACCAGAAAAGTAGCTTAAAAACTGGCATTTGTACACTGATGCTGTATTTAGGTTTATTAAATACTACAAAGATTCACTTAAGTACTATAGATGCTACAAACATGGGGACCACGAGTCAACACTTTAATAAATAGTGTTGTATTAACAACTGATTCAACGTCTCCACCAGAATACAGCTCCGAGGGGCTGTTCACGTTCAATTATTTCTATTAAAAACACATCACACAGATGGCTGGAAGAGCCCTGAGCCACTTCCCAGAGGATGCACAAGTTACTGGCAAGGAGCCAGAATCCCTGCTCCTCTCACTGAATTTACATTCCTGCCAGTGCTCAAGACCTGACTCCTATGCACTCCTTGGGATGTGCTACAGGCACCTGCTAGCTCTGAAGGGCACCAATTTACTGTAGAAAATAGCCACAATTAAAATTTAACCATGGGTCTGAACTCATATACTCCATTCTAACACAAGGAAAAATCTCTCAAAACTTGGATTTACCTGAAGCCCCAGGGAGAAATCTCATTTCATCTATGCCAGACCAGCACGTGCTCCCCCATTACGCTGAGGCCAAGGAGCAGGGCATCCTCACCCGCAGGGTGCCCAGGACAAAGCAGACTCTGCTTCCCAATGTCCATGCTCCAACCCTGGCACACACTGTCCTTCACCAACATTAAGCACCTAGTTTAGACACAGGGCACAGGTGGATGCCGGGAGGTTTTGTTAGTCCTCACCTTGTTCTTACATCCCTTTGCCAACTTGTGACTGTTGGTGACAGGATATGGGCAGAAGGAACCTCAGGGCCAGCCACCAGCAGCTGTTCTGTGCTCAGGTTGTTTGACACACACGAAGCTTCACAGGAACACATTTTGCACTGAAAAATCACATACACGTGTTGAGTTCACTGCAGTTTTGTTCAATACAAAGATCACATTAATGTTCTTGTGATGTTGACCTTTAAATCTCCACCTGCCTTTAGACAATTCTTAGCTGTGGAGATTTTCATAAGAAACAAACTCTCCACACCTCTTTACAGTTTAGTCTAAAAACAAATTACATTTGATCCTTAAATAGCCCTCAGTGGGACAGATAATGAAGCAAAACTCTGAACCCACACACACGAGCTCCTAACATAGGAAGGTGACACAAAAAGACAGCAAAATGAGAAATATATATACACCACAGAACTCCACATCAAAGGTCACAGCTGAGTGCCACCTGCTACCAGCAGTTAAATGCAAATGAAAAATGGCATAAAAATGCAAAATAAACAAAAAAAAAATGTTGAAAATGCTTATGATCAAGAAAAATAAATATATACTTGGGGCTTACCTCCTTGGAAAGCTCATTTTAACATAGCTGTTAAATCCAAAATTTAATTTTAAATGGCAGTGCTGGTGTATGAAGTTCCATCACGTCCCATGGCAGCCCTGCATTGTCCCTGCCTCTCATGCCACTAGCAGCTGTTTCTGTGGTCATTTTATAAGCTGGACTGGGGACCCGATCCAGGCTAAAAGAGCCTCTCTGCTCCCCAAGGCATTTCTTTATTTGGATCACTGCTGTCAGACCACAAGGCCCCACAGCAGCTGCAGCCAGACCAGAGCAAGGGCAGCAAAGGTGGGAGGGGGAATGCTCTTCATAGCCACCTCCTTGGCACTGGGACGGCTATGCCATCTTATACTCTCCACACAACCCACGTGCTTCCTTTCAGGCTCAGTCTCCCCTCTATCCTGTTACTGATTTTCATAAAACCTGGTAATAAAAAAAAAGTGTCTTTTTAAGGCATATACCACCCTACAGAATGTAACTGAACCCAGGCAAGTGATTCCAGCCTTAGAGGGGAGCTTACACATGCACAGAAAGACAACACAGTTACACCTTGTTCCTTGCTCCCTCAGAGAACCAGGCTAATAACAAGCCCCATATTGCACTATCTGTAAAAGCTACAAGGAAAAAAACAAATCCTAAGAAGTCACTGCAATAAAGGTTCAATCAAACACATCTGAATTGCTACCTGCATGGCAAGCTGCAGAACAAGGACTGGTGAGAAGGCTGAGGATGGCAGGATCAAAACATCAGCTATTTATATGCTACACAAATAAAAATAATTTAAAAAATTAATGTAACAATTAAAACAATTTAAATCCTGCCAGCACTGGCAGTGCCACACCATGCTGGGAGCCGGCTGCAGGAGTCTCCAAGAGAAGAGGTGACAAAATTATTGCGACCTTCCTGCCCATCTCAAGTTGCCTTCCAAACAGAATTTTAAGATCTTGTATTACATTTTGAGAGAAATAATAAATCCAGTGGACTGCTTGGTATTCAATTTATCCATGCATAACATGTTTTGACAAGTTTCCTCAGTTGTCACCTCTGCTCAAGTCACATTTTAGCACTTTTAGAAAAGACCAAATGGTATTAAAAAAAATAAAGAAGTTTGTATATTAGGGAGACATTATGAACTTGCCAGTCTCTCTCACTTCCTCTTTCCATTCCACAAAGACATGTATCTTCAATTTGATGTTAAACAAATAGTTATCATGAAAAAGTTTTTACCTGAATGAATAAATAAATAAATAAATGATTTCACCAATTCCATGCATCAGCCAAAGAGCCCACTGCAAAGCCATGCAGAGTCGTTTTGTTGTTTCTCACGGGCCCTGCTAGTCTAAGAATGGCTAAGTGAGCACTTTTATCAAGCTACCTGTACTGCAGAGCACTGTTTTCCTTCTGCAAAATTAGTGCACACTTTCGTCTTGTGCTCAGGGGCCACTGCATGACATTTCTTCTGTCATTCCCAGCCTGTGCTCTTCTCTGTTCTGCCATTTTAAGTTAGAATTAGAGGCATCCTATAACTGCCCATGATTTCTGGATGTAATAATCTGGTTAGCCAAGTGAAATTGCTCTCTATATACCACACAATTAGCTTGTGGCAGTGAACTATTTCTGCAGCTACCTTTGGAGTACCAAAGATTTAATCTTAAGCCAAATAGTCCACAGAAATGCAGAGCATTTTATTCAGCTTTACTCACCATAGCACCACATCATACCATCCAGCAATTAATGAAAACAAATCTGTTTTTCACAGTAGTTCTTACACAGCCACACAAAGTATTATAAGGCAGTCATTTGAAAACTTTCATGACAAGGAATGAAAAATACATGGAAATCTTTTTATCACATTTATATTTCTGAATAGTTTAAAATAAAAACAAATGACACCTAGTTTTTAATGATGTGCGCTAGGAGATTGCATTAGACATCTCACTCACAAGGTAATCAGTACTATTACAAATACTGCATCTGCTGCTTTCTGTATCAGCAATATGAAAATTAAATGTTTACACATTATACACGCAGACACAGCCATGTGACCGCATAGGACTGGGAAGATTATCTACTGCTTCCCATTTATTCAGTTCAGGGTTGTATTTCTCAATGCTCTGCAGATATGTTCCTTTTGAGTAAGAATATCCTCCTGTTACATAGATGCATCCGTTCATAACCACAGCACCACACTCCATCCTTCTCTCCACCATGTGAGCCATTTGCTTCCACTCGTTTTGCTCTGGGTCATAGCAGTCCATGATCGTGGTCTGTCCACCCACAAAATAGATCTTGTTTTGTAATGTAATTGAACACAATCCATATTCTTCAGGAAGAAAAGAATACAGTTCAACTCAGCATGGTAACATTAACTTAAACTGCAGCTACATGACAAACATTGGTTGCCACTGAGCTTAGGAGACACTACAGGATTTTCTGCCACACTTGGTACAAGCAAGATCAAAGCATTACAGAAGATGAGCACCAGTACTTAGTGACAATTACTTAAAAACCTTACTGTTACCAAATGCAGATTGCAGAGAAAACCCCTTTAAAATTAATATAAAGTATTTTTGCCAAATGCCTATGAACAGATTTTACAGAAAGTTAGTTTACCATATTATTTAACAGAATACAGCCATTTCTTAGTTCAATATTTATATAGTGATTTCTATAAAACAAATGTTTGAAGAGGGCTTTCCCTTCCCCTCTTAGAGCCTGGAAATGGGAGGTGGTCCCACTATGGCCCTTAGAGCCCTACAGGTATTGCTCCTTTTATTAGGAACATGCCAGAAACTCTTTCAGTGGGCTTACAGGTTCCCAGATACAAGTAACCAAATCAAGGTCTATGGTCATTACATAAATTATTGTTTACCTGGATGTGGACTTGTAGTGACTATACTCCACTCATTGCTACCTGAATGGTACCTCTGGATTTTATCATAGGTGCAGCTTCCCCTGTATCCATAGTGACCTCCAGTTACGTAGATGACTTCATGCAGGACACAGGCAGTGGCATTTCCAACACCTGCACACAGTGTGAAAGTCACAACACACCTTCAGGCTGCACACAATAGCCACAGTCACTCTCATTTCAAATGTCTTGTCAATTCACATTTTAGGGTGAAATGCTTGCAAATATTTAACTGAATGTGAAATTAAATAAACTCATCAAGACACCTTATCAGCACAAGTCAAGAGCCATTAAAAAAAGCCTGCAATAACCAATACATACTGCCTGTAACAGAGCCACACAATATTTCACAGAATTTTTATGCAGTAATTAAAGACATATTGTGACACTGGTTTTGGAATAGGAAATTACTTTCAGTATTTCACTAAGGAGATTTTTTTTAAAGTCACTTATATTGCAAGGACAAAGAAAATGGGAGTTGAGATCATTCAGTGTCTCATGATATCTTTTCTGATACTTTAGTCTTTCTCATAGTATTATTAATTATACTATCGTAAAAAAATAACACAAACACAATGGAAACATGTTAGCTCTGTCTCTAGGAGAGCAAAACAAAACAAGGGATCTGGAAAGATAACATGAACCAAAATTAGAAAATTAGTGTGGGTTTTTTTAAGCATCTAAGAAGTTTCACACAGCAAATGGGACAAAACAACTGCACAGAATGTTTAACTGCTCTCAGGATTAGTGCACCATGTCTATTTTTAAGGGAAATAAAATGAGAATAGCAGCAATGTTCATGGAAAAGATATATGCAATTAAGAAAGCTGTAGGAGCATGGTGCTTTCTCCTGATACAGATACGTCCAAAAACTCATGTATGCAGAAAAATATGTTGCATCAACTTACAGTAAAAATTTATCATTAATTGTAAATCATGCATTAGTTTATAAAAATGTATTATACTTGTTTTTACATTTTATAACAAAAAAATACTATTTAGTTAGGCTGTGATCCAAATTAATACATTTTTAATAGATCACTATTTTGGCTGTTAGAAAGAGGTATTAGTGTTTTTAATTATCCTCACACTGTCAAGAAAATTATATTAAAAGAAGATTACACCTTTAGAAACAATTGCACGGAAAATCTTAATAATACAGTCTTTAATTAAATTACCTACAAGCCTACAAATACAGTCTTTAATTAAATTACCTACAAGCCCTTTATTGGAGCTTGCTCTTTGACCATCTACACTAACCCCTGGCAGTTTCCTGATTTAGTTCTAATCTGAATAGAAATTTTACTCCTGAAAGAATGCAAAATTAACCTGAGACTACCACTTGCTTTTCCACCCTAGTGTCCTGTGGCACAGCCCAGCATAGCATTTGGATGTTTGCAGTCATTTGGCTAGTAAGGACCTGAACCAAAGCCCACTGACATGAACAGGAGATTCCCATGGACTTCACTAGAACTTGAGATCAAACCCTAAATGTGTTCATGGCACTTAAAAGTTGCAAATGCAAAAGGACTGGCATTTGAGGCATATGCCACACAAAGGCTTACCTACCTTTGATCATGTTTGCAATGGGAAACCATTTCTTTTTTAGAGGATCATAGAACTCAGCTTCTTGCACTGGAGCTCCCTTCCGGTAACCACCCAACGCGTAGATGCAGCCGCTCACAGAAACTGCGCAGTGGTAATACCTTGCATCAAGCATGGGGCAGCCTTCTGCCCATTCATCTTTCTCACTGTTATAGATCCACACGGTGTCCAGAGCTTCAATGCTCTCTGTTCTATAACCCCCTGTCACATATATGTCTGGTCCCAAGCCAGTGACCCCATAGCTCTCCCTGGTGTGATCTGGCATCTCTGTTCCCTGGACCCATGTATTAGTTAAAGGATCCCAAACATGCACTTCTGATAAGGGATGCCAATAATATCCTCCAATCACATACATGGCTGCTGTGGGTCTTCTGGAAGGGCTTTTGAGGTTGGGGTTCAAGGCATTGTATATGAGTGACCTTATCTTACTGTCATTAAGTCGGCATTTTTTCTGCAGGCTTAAAGCTGACCTCAAATACATGTTATCTGAGTCCACTCTGAGGCAGCTCAATAGTTCACAGACATCTTCAATTCTTTCTTCCACATTGTGTGCAACCCACTTAACTACAGCTTCGATGGCTACCTCTTCTTTCCAAACATTGAGATTCTCTCTGGAGAGAATATAAGAGAGCTTCTCCTTGCTAATGTCCAGAAACTCTTCCTGCTTCCACACTTCTTCAAACTGCCATAACAATATCCTCCTGGACTCTTTCTCTAGCTCTGAACAATTGTGGTATTCGGCAAAGGAGTGCATCCCTATGCAGTTGTCAGTGTCTAAGTGCCTCACCAAAAACTGCTCACAGGCTTTCTTTACTGACAGGAACTGGAGGAGGTCTGCAGCCTGGAGCAGGCTTTGGACGTTTCCCTTTGTTATCTGGATCTGTGATGTATATGCATAATTCACGAGGGCTTCCAGCACGGCGTGGCTGAGCCAGGGAAGTCTGATCTGGTTTTTAGATTTTTCCTTCATATCGGCTGTGAACATGGCTTTGAAATAATTGCTGCAAGCCGCCAAGGCGGCTCTGTGGCAGCGGAAGATGACCCCCGAAGAAGCGCACTGCAGGGTGATGTCGGTGAACAGCCCGTCCAGGTAAAACGCCCGGAACGCGTCCAGAAAGCCGGCGGGGTGCGCGGAGTCCTGGTAGAGGAACGCGCACTCCTCCTGCCCCGCTGCCATCCCGCACACACCGCCGGGCACCGCGCCCGCCCCGCGGCTTTGTCCGCGCCC